TGTTACCGTGTTCCCCTGAAAATAAGACTTGTATTATATGAATTTTTGCTTCAAAAGTCGCATTAGGGCTTATTTTCTGGTTAGGTCTTATTTTTGGGGAAATACGGTACTAAATGCATCTATCTGGCTGGCAATCTTAACTGGGGTTTTTTGAGGGTAGGGCTTATATTATGAGTGTCCTGAAAAAATCATGCTAGGGCTTATTTTCTGGTTGGGTCTTATTTTGGGGGAAATACGGTACTGAATGCATCCATCTGGCTGACAATCTTAATTGGGGCTTATTTTGGGGGTAGGGCTTATATTACGAGCATCCTGAAAAATGCTAAGGCTTATTTTCCGGTTGGGTCTTATTTTCGGGGAAACTGGGTAGCAAAATATTTTTTTTTTTTGAAATTTTTTATTTTATTTTAAAACAAAACATAAAACATAAATCCATCATTCATACAATTGCAAACAGTGTGTCGGTCGGTTACAAGTCTTTTGTGCTTCCTCACCATATTCATTACTTACTAATTATCTAATTTCTCATATTACCAATCTAATAAGTATCTTTATAGTATAATCCTCATTAATCTCTTTTCATGTAAATTATTTTCAAATATTTATATTATGACATTCATTTCTTAGTCCTCAATCAACAACAGTCATATCACTTTGTAGCAAAATATTGACGTGTGACCAACCTCTACAAAGATAAAGAATAGAATAGAATAACGAAGTTGGAAGGGACCTTGGAGGTCTTCTAGTCTAACCCTCTGCTTAGGCAGGAAGCCCTACACCACTTTTTTTTTTAATTATTATTTGATTTATATGCCGCCCTTCTCCGGAGACTCAGGGCGGCTTACAATGCGTTAAGCAATAGCCTTCATACTTTTGTATATACCTGCTTAGTAGGGCTTTCGGCCCCCCCTAAGCGGTGTTCTTTTTTATACAAAGTCAGCTTATTGCCCCCACAAACCGGGTCCTCATTTTACCTACCTCGGAAGGATGGAAGGCTGAGTCAACCTTGAGCCTGGCAAGATTCGAACTTACTTTAATTGCAGACAGCTGGTGTTAAATTACAGTGCTTTTAGTCTGCAGAGCTATCCAGCTATCCACTTCAGACAAATGGTTATCCTGCTATGTATCACACAAACATTTAATACCTGGCTCCAACCAACCCCGAACACTTTTCATACAGCTTTTTCCACACCTTACGACCCCACAATTGAGCCCAGAATTTATGTCGTCGAGTGAGGAATTCGTTAACGGAGTTTTGCCCCATTCTACGACTTTTCTTGCCGTAACCGACTTGCATTTATGACGGTGGCCGTGTTCCCGCCGGGGGCGGGGGTGTCACGCCATCCCCTTTGGCGACCTTCTGACAATCGAAATCAACGGGGGAAGCCAGATTCGCTTAACAACCGGGCCACTAACTGAACAACAACTGGAGCGATTCAACTGAACAAACGCGGCGAGAAAAACCGTAAAACTTCACAAATTTTCTCACTTAAGTAACATAAATCCTGGGCTCGATTGTGGTCGCGAGTGGAGGATTACCTGCATAGGGTTTTCCTGCTGGAGGAAAAGGGGTTGGACTAGAAGACCTCTAAAGTCCCTTCCAACTCTGTGGTTCTGTTAAGCCTTTGTTTCTCTAACTTGATTTCCGGAAAAGCTGTATTGTATGAACATCTGGAAACAAGCTATGTTTGCTCCCATCTTATAGCCTATATAGGTACTTGATGGCTCAAGGTTTTCCCAGAGATAATGGATTTCATGTTTTATTCATTGATAAAAGCATTTGTGCTAGGGCAGAAACATTTGTTAAATGTATTATCGTGGTAGTAGCGACTCTTAGGGGAAAAGTAGTACCGTCTCTCTCAAAGTAGCAAGGCTTGTATTAGGCTTTCGTAGTTAGTTATTCAGGAAGTGTGTTCCAAATTCAGAGATGGAATACAGGTAAGTCCTCGATTTCTGTTGCTAAGTGAGACATTTGTTAAGTGAGTTTTGCCCCCATTCTCTTGCCACGCTTGTTAAGTTAGTCACGGCAGTTGTTAAGTGAGTGACAGAGTTGTTAAGTGAGTCTGGCTCCCCCCCCGACTTGGCTTGTTGGAAGGTCGCAAAAAGGGGGATTTATGTGACCCCGGGACTCTGCAACCGTCATAAATAGGAGTCAGTCAGCAAGCCTCTGGATTTTGATCAGGTGAAAATTGGCCACAATTTGACCACTCTTCCAGTGGCGTCGTAACTTTGAACGGTCGCTAAATGAGCTGTTGTAAGTCGAGGACTACCCTGTATCTGTGGGTAGGCACGGATGGAGTGTGTTAAGAAGGCTGTTGCCCTCATGCCATCCTGCTAGCCACTCAGAGACCTCAAGATGTTGGGGGGAAATTGGGATTCAGTGGGCTCTTTGGCCTGGTTAGGACATTTTATGATGGTTTTGTTAGATATTTAAAGGGCTGTCATGGCAAGACCTGAGCAAACAATTTATATATTCCAAAAAGGGGATTTCGAGTAAACATTGGGGCAGGTGGTGGGATAAACGGAATTCTATTCTGTTCTATTATTTTACAGAATAACATTCTATTCTATTTTATTCTATATTTTACATTCTATTCTATTCTATTCTATTCTATATTTTACATTCTATTCTATTCTATATTTTATATTCTATTCTATTCTATATTTTATATTCTATTCTATATTTTACATTCTATTCTATTCTATTCTATTCTTTATATTCTATTCTATTCTATTCTATATTTTACATTCTATACTATTCTATTTTCTATTCTGGTTTCCCTTCTGTTCTCTTCTGTTCTCTTCTCTTCTCTTCTCTTCTCTTCTATTCTATTCTATTCTATTCTATTCTATTCTATTCTATTCTATTCTATCCTATCCTTTATTCTATTCTATTCTATTCTATAGCCATGGTGGCTTATTGGTAGAATGGAGTATTGCAAGCTAATTCTGCCGATTGCCAGCAGTTCGAATCTCTATTCATCCCTGCATAATTTCCCCCTCACCCAATAAAAATATCCCAGCTGTTCCTAGTTTAACAACAATTGAAAAAAACCTATCCACAGTGTGCAGATTGTCTTCCGGCACCATTATGACTGGTCAGAAAACTACTGTATAGCTTGGGGGTTTGTTTGTTTTTTTAAAAAAAATAATGCTTTTTAAAAAAAAAAACAACAACAACAACCCGTTGCTATCCTGAAATACCGACTGTCAAATCCGTGGCGCTGTCTTTATCCTCCCCTTTAGCGGTTGCATCTGTTATCATCTCCTAACCCCCGTCCAATGGTCCTTTATTAGACAGTGCTCGGTGGGGTGTTAGCAAAGCGCCGTTTCCTCCGGCAAAGAGCAGGCCAACAGTCACAGCCAGGGGTAGAGTGCAGCCGAAGTCATAAAATATGATTTATACTCATCGTCTTAATTGCCAGGGCTGCCCGCCCACCCTCCCAAGAACTGATTCACGTTGACTTTAATCAATCAGCTCGGTAAGAAACGTGAGGCTCCTTCCGCGAATAGCAGTGTGGGAGGGGGAGTGTCCGAAGCCCATTTTTGGGGGGGAACCGTTTCCGAAGGGCGTGTGGCGCTACTAAGTTGCCCGGCGGACGATCGCCGCGGAACATCTCAGCAGTGGTTTGAAGAAGAGCGGACAATGGATTTTGGTGGTCTAAAGGAATGTTCCAACATTTGAGGGGCTGCCCCAAAGAAGACTTGGGGGTCAGGCTATTCTCCAAAGCACCTGAAGGCAGGACGAGAAGCAATGGGCGGAAACCTATTTGGGAAAGAAGCAATCTAAAAAGAAGGAGGAATTTCCTGACGGTTAGAACAATTAACCAGTGGAACAGCTTACCACCAGAAGTTGTGGGTGCTCCATCACTGGAAGAAGAGACTGGACAGCCATTTGTCTGGAATGGGATATAGATGAGAGAGATGATAGATAGATAAATAGATGGATGGATGGATGGATGGATAGATAGATATAGATGAGAGAGAGATGAGAGAGATGATATAGATGAGAGAGATGATAGAGAGAGATATAGATGAGAGACAGAGAGATGAGAGAGAGATAGATAGATATAGATGACAGAGAGATGAGAGATGATAGAGAGAGAGAGATGAGATGAGAGATATAGATGAGAGAGAGAGAGATGAGAGAGAGAGAGAGAGAGATATAGATGACAGAGATGACAGATATGATATAGATGAGAGATGATAGAGAGAGAGATGAGATGAGAGATATAGATGAGAGAGATGATAAAATGAGAGAGATGATAGAGAGAGAGAGATGACAGAGAGATGAGAGAGATGATAGAGAGATAGAGAGATGAGAGATAGATAGATAGATAGATAGATAGATAGATAGATAGATAGATAGATAGATAGATATAGATGAGAGAGAGAGAGAGAGATGATAGATAGATGATAGATAGACAGACAGACAGATATAGATGAGAGATGAGAGAGATGATAGATATAGATGAGAATGATAGATAGACAGACAGACAGACAAGATAGATTGATAGATTGATATCTAGAGGTTATGGGTGATCCATCACTGGAGGTTTTCAAGAAGAGACAGACAGCCATTTGTCTGGGATGAGATGAAGGAAGGAAGGAAGGAAGGAAGGAAGGAAGGAAGGAAGGAAGGAATAACAAAAGTTGGAAGGGACTTTGGAGGTCTTCTAGTCCAACCCCCTGCTCAGGCAAGAAACCCTACACCAGGCACATGGTTATCCAATCTCTTCTTTAAAAACTCCCAGTGTTGGAGCATTCACAACTTCTGGAGGCAAGTTAACCAGTTGCAGGGATTTCACTTTTAACAACCGGGCAAGCCAAAGTGATAAAGCGGGGCAAAACTTACTTAACCACTTGTCTGGCTTAGCAGTAGAAAGGTCGGTCTCCATTTGCGGTCGTAAGTCGAGGCCTGTCTGTATTGCAGAACAGAGTGGCATAAAAACCGAATTGATCTCAATTCTTCCTCTCTGTTTTTCTCTCTCTCTCTTCAGCCGGCCTTGGGACACCCAGACTCCAAGCCCAGCACCAAGTCCAACATGCTTCGAGGCCGCATCCCTGCAACCTCCGCCGACGAGCAGCCCCACATCGGGAACTACCGCCTGCTGAAGACCATCGGCAAGGGCAATTTTGCCAAAGTCAAGCTGGCGCGTCACGTTTTGACGGGGAAAGAGGTGAGGGGGGGGGCATCCCCGGAGAAGCAATAATAATAATAATAATAATTCTGGAAATTGTGCCAGAAGTTTGGATTTGAGTACAGCAAAACCCACTGGGAACATCAGGTTGAGAAAGTTTTAGAGAATGAGAAACTCAAGATCTTGTGGGACTTCAGGATTCAGGCTGACAGGCACTTGGTCCACAACACACCTGACCTAACAATAGTTGAAAAGAAAAAAGGATGGTTCATTGACATTGCAATACCTGGTGATGCACGGATTGAAGATAAGCAGCAAGAAAAAAATCACAAAGTACCGAGATTTGCAAATTGAAGTTGAGCGACTGTGGAAAAAGAAATTGTGTGTTGTCCCAATTGTAATTGGAGCCCTTGGAGTAATACCCAAAGGGCTACCCCGCTATTTAGAAATTCTAAATTTACCCAACTTGAACATTTTGACTCTACAAAAAACCACCTTACTTGGAACAGCTTACATCCTCTGACGATACCTTAACAGTTCCTAGGTCCTTGGTTAGGACTCGAATTGCTGAGCTATTAACCAGCCTCAAAGGCTGTGAATCTCACTAAAGATTAACCAATAATAATAATAACTTTATTGTCATTGTACGTGTATACACAGTATACCCATACAACGAAATTCACTTAAAACCTGAAGACCAGGTCCAACACACATAACAATCCCCAAACACCCCCTCACCCACCACAAATTCCCCACCCCTAAACCACACAAACATCCACACAACAGACCAAGTAATTCCATCCAGCAGCTCACTGATGGTGACCCTTTAGTTCATTGTTGAGTGCAATTATAGCTCTGGGATAAAAACTATTCAGAAGACGTGTGGTTCCGAGTTTGAATTGTTCTGCATCTTCTGCCGGAAGGCAACAGTCCAAAAAGATTGTGAGCAGGATGGGAAGAGTCTCTGAGAAGGTTATGCAACTTCCTCAAACAGCGAGATGTGAAGATGTCGTCCAGGGTTGGTAGCTGGAGCCCGATGATATTCTGGGCAGTTTTAATAATTCTCTGTAGAGCTTTTTTGTCCGCTAACAGAGCTGCTCCCGTACCATGCAAGAATGCCGTATGTCAGGACACTCTCAACGGTGCTGCGATAATAGGACAGAAGGAGATGCCGAGATAGATTTATCTTCCTGAGCATTCTCAGGAAGTGCAGCCTCTTCTGTGCCTTCTTCGCAAGCATGTTAGCATTCATAGTCCATGAGAGGCAGCTAAATTTCATCCAAAACAAAAACACCAAAAAACCCGAGGGAAGGTAATTCTAATATAGCTGTTGCGGCTGAAAGTCAAATTTTACTTGTCTTTAGAAATGGGCTTCCCTATAATCTTCCTTTTTTTTTAGAGTGCTAGAAAACTCACGTCGTTTTGCGGAGCCTTAGAGACACCCAGAAGGGGCAAATCGCCGTTATGTTGTCTGTGACTTTTTTGTGTTGTCTTCTCGTTCAGGTGGCTGTGAAAATAATCGACAAGACGCAGTTGAATTCCTCCAGCTTACAGAAGGTAAGAAGGTTTTCCGGCTTTACGGATTTTTGGTGCTGTATTTCCTTCGGTGTGGACGGTGTGCGAAATGGCTGGCTTTTTAATCTCGCTTTTGTTTCTAACAGCGGGGGGGGAACGAGTCTTTAGCAGCGATTGCCCCTCTCTCCCCTGATAAGAGGTTTCAGGACTGTGCAAAATGTGAGGCTTTCCTCGAGTTTTCATGAGCCTCAGCTAGTAGAGGATGCTGGGATTTGTTGGTCCACATCCAGACAACCTTACCTTACCTTACCTTCCCCTCCCCTCTCCTAACTTCCCTTCCCTTCTTTGCAGGCACAGTTGCCTTGCTTTTGGGGCTTTAACAGATTAAATCGCAGATTTAAAAGGTTTAATCCAGTGAGCAAAACAGTCTAGCTCAGTGTTTCTCAAACTTAGCAATTTAGGTGTCTGGGCTTCAACTCCCAGAATTCCCCAGCCGGCTTGCTTTAAGATGGGTGGACTTCAACTCCCAGAATCCCCAGCCAGCATGCTTTAAGAGAGGTAACCTTCAGCTCCCAGAATTCCCCAGCCAATTTGCTTTAAGATGTGTGGATTTCAACTCCCAGAATCCCCCAGCCAGCCTGCTTTAAGAGGGGTAGAATTCAACTCCCAGAATCCCCCAGCCAACTTGCTTTAAGATTTGTGGACTTCAATTCCCAGAATCCCCCAGCCAGCATGCTTTAAGAGACTTCAGCTCCCAGAATTCCCCAGCCAACTTGCTTTAAGAGACTTCAGCTCCCAGAATCCCCCAGCCAACTTGCTTTAAGAGACTTCAGCTCCCAGAATCCCCCAGCCAGCATGCTTTACGATCTGTGGACATCAAGTTCCAGAACTCCCCAGCCAGCATTCTGCAAAGTCCCTCCATCCCATCAGTTTTGGCGCCAAGAGGGGAATTCTGGGAATTGCAGTCCCAGCACACTCAGAAGGCCCTATGGTTGGGTGTGTGTATATATGCATGTGTATGGGGAAAGCTGCTTCCAGATAGGGGAGCACAGCCATTCAGAGTCCTGCAAGTAACTTTCCCTGTTGCTTTTTCTCCTTCTCCTCCTCTTTTCCTCCAGCTCTTCCGGGAAGTGCGAATAATGAAGGTTCTGAATCACCCAAATATAGGTGAGAACGCCAGCCGGGGAGGGGGGGGGTTTCCCCTCTTGTTCCCTCCTCCCTTCCAGATGTTGCTCTTCCCTTATCTGCCTGTTGCGGTGGCAAGCAGCAGATGAGCCTGGCCTGTCAAGCATCGCCCCAGCCTTTCGGTTGCTCTCAACATCTGGCTTTGCTGCCTGGAGTTTGAGAAAGTTCGTTTCTGGCACATCTGGGAATGGGGTGTTCCCTTGTCCCCTTGGGCAGCATCCTATCCCGATCCTGAAAACCTACGGAGTTGGGGAGCTGCCACTCCTCCCTCCAGCAGTGCCATTCGACCAAGTGTGGGTCATCCTCGACTAACCACAGTTCATTTAGCGACCGTTTGAAGTTAACCACAGGAGTGACGCAAGCAATTTTGCTTGTCAGAAGTCGGCTGGGAAGGTTGCAAGTGGGTTTTTTTTTTCCGGGGTGGGGGATGTCCCATGGCGAGAAAGAGGCCCTGGGTAGATTCAGGAGGGTCTCTAGGACAACTCAACTCTGGTCAACCCACCACGGGTTGACCTCCGGTGGTCCTCGACTTACAACCGTTCGTTTAGTGACCGCTCAAAGTTACAACCGCACTGAAAAATGTAGCTTACCACCATTTTTTCACACTTACGACCATTGGAGAATTCCCATGATCGTCTTCTTTTAACGACCCCATAATCCCTTGCGGGGTGGACTCTGGGCAACTGAATGGAGCTAGCCGAGTATTTATTGGCCGGATGCCTTTCCTGTCGCCAATGCGGAGTTTTGTTCAGTAGATATATAGAGAATTCCCACGATTATGTGTTCAAAATTCAGACGCTTGGCAAGGGCTCCTATTTATGGCGGTCGCCGCGTCCCGTGGTCACGTGATCCTCTTTTGCAACCGTCTGTCCAGGCGGGAGGCCAGATTCACTTAATAACCATAGCAGTGATTCCCTTAACAACTGTGGCAAGGAAGGTCGTAAAATGGAACAAGTTTTACTTAACTACTGTCTCGCTTAGCGATGGAAATGGGGCTCGGTTGTGGTCGTAAATCGAGGACTGGCTGTAACGGCTTCCTCTTAACCTGCAGCTGTGTTTCCTCTTTTCATCCTGAGCCAGGTGTGTCCGGTTTCTTTCTTTGGCCAGGTGTTTCTAATCTCACACTATTTTCCTCCCTTTTTTTTTTTTTTTTTTTTTTTTTGCCTTTCAGTTAAATTATTTGAAGTCATAGAGACGGATAAGACGCTGTACCTCGTCATGGAGTATGCCAGCGGAGGTGAGCTCCAAATTCCAGGGAATCTGATGATGGGATTTGCAAAGATCACACTTTAGAATAGACTAGAATTCTTTATTGGCCATGTGTGATTGGACATACAAGGAATTTGTCTTCGGTGCATAAGCTCATGGTGTACATAAAAATACATTCATCAAGAATCATAAGATACAAGCAACAAGGTTATAGTCATAAGTAGAAAAGGAGATAGGTAATAGGAAGGATGAGAAGAAGAATAGTAATACAGTCTTAGTAAATAGCTTGACAGTGTTGTGGGAATTAGTTGTTTAGCAGAGTGATGGCAAAGGGAAGGAAGGAAGGAAGGAAAATTGGAGAGAGAATAGAGTAGAGTAGAGAATAGAATAGAATAGAATAGAATAGAATAGAATAGAATAGAATAGAACAGAACAAAATCAGTAAGCAAGTGATTTCTCCCAGAAAAGACAAAAGAGGCAATTTAAATCTGCTTTTTCGAAACTTAAAAAGGGGGGGACACCACCCCTTGTTGTTATGACCGATGATGGTGATTTCTAAATTGAGGAAGGATTTTTTTTCTTTCCCCCTCCCCTCCCCAGAAATCACTTGCTTACTGCTTTTGCTTCTGCTGCATTGAGTGGCCCCTGAATCCCTGGAGGCGTCATTGGACAGTCTTCCTGAGAAGGGCATATGGTCCATTAGGGATAACAAAAGCCTTCACCACAACAGATGGGTGAAAGCTATCCTTGCCCCCGCCCTCCCCCACCTGGAGATGGCAGGGCTGAAATAAAAGTAAGACAGCTGGCTGGGGAAGGAGAGGGGGCTGCTTTTCCTATAGAAAGCCAGGTGGGGACCGAGGCCCACCTAGGCAGAGAATGGGCCCCTCCTGGCTTTGCCTGATTCTGGCAGATAAAAATATCCTGATCCATCCACTGGAGAAGGCTATAGAGGGATTTCTGTCCAGCAAGCAAGAAAGCCAAGTGATGCTTTTGGTAGCGGCAAGCTGAGAAAGTTTTAAGATGGCAATTGGCAGTTTTAGAGCAATGGTTCTCAACGTGAGCAGTGTTAAGATAGGTGGGTTTTAATTCCCAGAATTCCCCAGCCAATGTGCGATAGATGGAGGGAGGGAGGGAGGGAGGGAGGGATAGATAGATGAATAAATAGATGAGAGAGAGAAGATAGATGATAGATAGATAGATAGATAGATAGATAGATAGATAGATAGATAGATAGATAGATAGATAGATAGATAGATAGATGAGAGAGAGAAGATAGATGATAGATAGATAGATAGATGATAGATAGATAGATAGATAGATAGATAGATAGATAGATAGATAGATAGATAGATAGATAGATAGATAGATAGATAGATTTAATTCTTTATTGGCCAAGTGTGAATGGACACACAAGGAATTTGTCTTTGGTGCATATGCTCTCAGTGTCCATAAAAAGACAAGATACATTTGTCAAGAATCATAAGGTACAACACTTAATGATAGTCGTAGGGTACAAATAAGCAATCGAATCATACTAGGAAACAATCAATATAAATCGTAAGGATACAGCAACAAATCACAGTCAAACAGTCATAAGTGGGAGGAGATGGGTGATAGGAACGATGAGAATTTATGATGGGTGGGCTTCAATTCCCAGGATTCCCCAGCCAGCGTGCTTTAAGATGTCTGGGCTTCCAGCTGGAGAATTCTGGGAGTTCAAGTCCATCCATCTTAACTTAGGCAAGGTTGGGAAACACTCGTTGCGGGCCATGTGTCTAGCTGTGGTTGTATCCCAGCAGCAAAAAAATGGTTAGCTTTTCTCACCATTGCTCCCTGTCCCATCTCTGTCCCTTACTGGATTTCCTGATTTTTGTTGCATTTTTTTGTTCCACATGAAAAGACAGATTCATCTCTCTCTCTCTCTCTCTCTCTCCCTCCCTCCCTCCCTCCCTCTCCCTCCTCTTGGTCAATCAATTTCCTTCTTTCTTTCTTTCTTTCTTTCTTTCTTTCTTTCTTTCTTTCTTTCTTTCTTTCTTTCCTTCTTTCTTTCCTTCCTTCCTTCTTTCTTTCTTTCTTTCTTTCTCTCTCTCTCTCTCTCTTTCTTCCTCCAGGCGAAGTCTTTGACTACTTAGTGGCTCATGGAAGAATGAAAGAGAAGGAAGCGCGGGCAAAATTCCGACAGGTTGGTGCTTGCGCCTCCTTTTATTAAAATGTGAAAAGCCAGAACCAGTAAGGAGAGCTCTTGCCACCATTTAACTGCCTGGCAAAAAGGAAAGTGGAATTTGATGTTCACGATGCAGGGGGAAGGGGGGGGGAGAAACAGCCGCCCAAATTTTGCTCCTGGTCGAATTTGGCTTCTTGACCAAAACTCACCTTTTTAGGATCTTCAGGTTGATAAACACGGCTTTTGGAATTTTTAAAAGCTTGGGTGGTAGAGGAAACGGAAGGTGCTGCTCCAAGATAGCTATAACTTCATTCTGGGAAAAATTCTCCTCCTTTGCTGGCCTCCCCCAGTTGGGTGTTGCTGAACAGTGAATGATGGAGACAACCCAAAAAAGAATTCCCCTTCTCGACCAGACCAAAGCACCATTTTTAGTCCAACGTTGTTGGCCGATTGGGCATATGTGGGTGATGGGTTTTCCTTCCTTCTGCTATGCAAAGGTGTTTATCACCGTCCTTCCGTTCATCCAGATGTTGATGACACAAAAGCTTTTTAAAAGCTTTTTTAACGTCCCTTATCTCCCCTCCCAAAGCGGAAAGCAGTTTCGAAGCAGCAGGTTCGTTGCAACCACGATCGTATTAGGATGCAAACTCTTGATCCTCATTTCCCAGGGTTCATATCAAGGCCGGGCCTCCCCACTGTCTTTGATCTCCCTTCTTAGGGAGTCCTGGTTTAAGGGAGAGGATGTTAAGTTTCTCATTCATTTCGGGAACGCCCCTTCTCATTCCCCCATGCCAGAGAATCCCCTCCCTCTTGGGTCCTCCATGCCTCGTTCTCCTTTCCTTATAAAGCCGCCTTAACTAGCCAATTTCAACTGTATCGTGCATGGAAGTTCTGAAAATCGGTTCCTTAACATTAGTCATACATCGTAAAATCAAGATCGAGTTGGAAATTGAACCCGGAAAAGGACTTGGGAACTGAACACCGGTGGGCGGGAGGGAGGAGAGGAAGAGGGAGCCTCATTGGATCATTGCTGCAAGAACTTTGCCCCCCCTCCGCCCCCCCAGGAAAAATCAACCCCCCACCCACTGCACAAACCTGCTTTTCTGGATGCTGTGTGCGAATGATGCAACGATGAGTCCTAATTTATGCAGCTCTTTTTGCTTTCTGGGAAAAGACGCCATCACCACACACCCACTTCTTTGCTCCATCCTTCACCTTCAACTCCAAGCGACCGGGGGGGGGGGGGTTTGGGGGGGGCTGGACAACACCAGGTGCTAAGAATCCTTTTTTGTTATTTGCTATTTGATTATACGCAGTGGATTTGTAGAGAATAAGATGAATAAGTTTATGCAAAGCTATTAAGTAAGGAATGTTTCCAGGAAGAATCAATATGAGTTTATGGGGTAAAAAGTGAAAAGTAAAAATAAGGTTTTTACAATATCATTTATTTGAGATTGGGTTAAAATATTTTGTTAATGCGTTAATATTTGTAAGGGTTGGAGATGTAATGGTTAATTGTAATTGGGCTCTGATTGTGCAATGCTGGAAGAAAGAAGACTTGCTTATTATTGAAGAACAGACAAGAATGAAGTTGGATTGATTACTTTCAAGCAATAATTGGTTTAAATAGTTATATTCAGATATGAACACGGGGAGTTAAAGTGCAAAAGGGAGATAAATCTATAGATAGTTAGCTTATGTTTTTTTTATATGTTTGTTAAATGCTATATCCTGTATTTGCTCTGGGAAGTTGTGGTGGGGGGGGGGATATGTGTAAAATTTTTTAAAACTTTTCAATTAAAAAAAAAAATCCTTTTTTGGGGCTGATGCAATACCTGAGTGAGTCTGGTTACGCTGATGCAGAAATTGCCGTGTTTTTTTTCACCCTTCTTCTTCTTACCCCTTTCCTTCCAGATAGTTTCTGCTGTGCAGTACTGTCACCAAAAATTCATTGTACATAGAGACTTGAAGGTAAGTGGAACAGGAGGGGAAGGCCTCAGTTTACCCATGGGCCGGCCATAGTTCACCCTTGCCAAAGCGGAGCTCAGAATCGGCTCAGCCGAGTTCTGCTCTTGTTTTAGCAAGAGCAGAACTTGGGTTGCAGGAACTGGGTATGTCTAGTTTAATGAGGACCAGGGGAGACATGATAGCAGTCTTCCAATATCTCAGGGGCTGCCCCAAAGAAGAGGGAGTCAAGCTATTCTCCAAAGCACCTGAAGGCAGGACAAGAAGCAACGGATGGAAACTAATCAAGGAGAGAAGCAACTTAGAACTAAGGAGAAATTTCCTGACAGTGAGAACAATTAACCAGTGGAACAACTTGCCAACAGAAGTTGTGAACGCTCCAACACTGGGAAGCTTTTAAGAAGAGGTTGGATAACCATTGGTCTGAAGTGGTGTAGGGTTTCCTGCCTAAGCAGGGGGTTGGACTAGAAGACCTCCAAGGTCCCTCCCAACTCTTGTTAGTCTGTAAATCCTGCTCTTTATCTAGCTTGCCAATTCAGGCTTGGCTTGAGTTTCTCTACCCGTTGCTTCCGGCCCCACCGATCCTTCCCGTCAACCATGTCTGGCATAACGTGGCTGATGGCCCGTGGGTTGAAAGGCGGCCTTAGGACAAGTTTTCTTTCCCCAGCCAGATGCTCTTGAGGTGCCTTTCATCCACGGCCAGCCAACCAGCCAGCATCTGGAGTTAGAGCCCAGGACAGCTGGAGCACGTGGGCTTCTGCCCTCAACCCTCCCTTGTTTCCCCGCTCCCTCCCTCCCCCCCAAGAATATATCAAATTCCCTCCCCCCCTTCTGTGAACATTAATATTGAATATCAAGAGCCCCCCATTATCCCTCTTTTTTTTTTTCCTTCCGAGCCTTATGAAGCCGTATGAGCGAAATATCTCTCGGGCTTTCAAAGCCAGAATTCGACATCTCGCCTTAGTCAAACCGGTCGCGGGACAATTTTAACAAATCGTATTTAATTATTTAAAATATTTAAATATTAAATATTTAAATTATTTAAAATATTAAATATCCAGGTGCCTTGGAAAATAGCTTTGACGCCCCCACTCCCTCCTTATTTATTTATTTATTTATTTATTGATTGATTGATTGATTGATTGATTGATTGATTGATTGGTTCGATTTATATGCCGCCCTTTCTCCGGAGACTCAGGGCGGCTTACAATGCGTTAAGCAATAGCCTTCATACTTTTGTATATACCTGCTTAGTAGGGCTTTCGGCCCCCCCTAAGCAGTGTTCTTTTTTATACAAAGTCAGTTTATTGCCCCCACAATCCGGGTCCTCATTTTACCTACCTCGGAAGGATGGAAGGCTGAGTCAACCTTGAGCCTGGTGAGATTTGAACTTGCAGTAATTGCAGGCAGCTGGTGCTACTTAATAGCACTTTAGACTGCTGTGCCACCAAGGCTCCTTTTCCCATATATAGGAAAACTGCTTTTTCCCATATGTGAGATTATTGTAAAAATGTACACAAATGATGAAATGATGTCTTCCCTGGTCCTTCTCTTCACTAGACTAGCCGTGCCCAGTTCCTGCAACCGTTCCTCCCTTCCAACTCTGTTATACTGTTCGGTTAGGGCTAGGGTTATTCAGAGCGCATGGATATGTTTAGGAGGGCAAGTCTGGCCTATCAGCATTTCCTGGTAAAATACATGGGAAAATCCCATTGGCCGGAAAAGCCACTGTTAGCCTCCAGTCCCCTAATCCTCTTGGTTGCTTGGCCCCTTCTCAATTTCTCCCCCCACCTTCCCCACCCCTTCTCCTCTTCTCTCCCCCCCCCGCCCCCCCCAGGCAGAAAATCTGCTCTTAGATGCCGACATGAACATCAAGATTGCAGACTTCGGTTTCAGCAACGAATTCACGTTCGGCAACAAGCTTGACACGTTCTGCGGGAGCCCCCCGTACGCCGCGCCCGAATTGTTCCAGGGCAAGAAGTACGACGGACCGGAGGTGGACGTCTGGAGCCTCGGGGTTATCCTTTACACACTGGTCAGCGGCTCCCTGCCCTTCGACGGGCAGAACCTCAAGGTACCTCCACCTCCTGCTTCGGACAGGAAGGGCGGTGCAGAGAGAGAGGTGGGGGTGGACGGCAGGAAAGATGATTGGCAGTTCACTCCCTTCCATCCGGGGCGTGGCTTAGAAAGCGATGCTTGAGCAGGATCCCCAGGAATGTCTGGGACTCTGTACATCCTCTTCCTTGTTACCTGTTTTTTCTTGTTACCTTCTGGGAAGAGGCTTCGTGGTACCCGAAGCAGAACCTCCGGATTCGGTCACGGTTTTGTTCCATAAACAGTCGTGGCCCAAATTGTGGAAGCCTTTTGGGAAAAGTGTATTTTCTAAAACTTAGCTAATAACACCACTTTTTTTTTTTTTTTTTTTTGGGAATAACACCATAAAAGCTTTTTGCAGCCCATTTTTGAAGCTTTTTGCCGCCCATTTTTGAGGCTTTTTGCAGCCCGTTTTCCAAGGCTTTTCATGGCCCTTTTTTTGGGGCCGTTTTTGAGGCTTTTTTTGGCCTGTTTTTTCTGAAAAAATGGCCTGAAAAAAGCCTCGAAAACCAGCCCATAAAGCCTTAAAAACAGGCCGAAAAAAGACCTGAAAATGAAGGCCGAAAAAAGGCCCCAAAACAGGGTTTGCAGAGGCCAAAAAACAGCCAGCAGGTGAGTGGGGCTTCGATGATATTCAGTCTGTAAGACGGACAGACATTTTCTCCCCCTTTTGGGAGACAAAAAAGTGCGTCTTGTAGTCCGAAAAATACAGTATATTGCAATTAAAACCTTTTTAAAAAACCATTTAAGATAAAGCTGCTAGCTCTCTTGAAGGAGAGTGTGAGCGCCTGCACGAGTCCTTTTCTTGTCCTGCTTAAAATGAACGTTTACTTCCCCCCCCCCCAAATATCACTTCTTCTCCTTTTGCAGGAGCTGCGAGAACGGGTTTTGAGGGGGAAGTATCGCATCCCCTTCTACATGTCCACGGACTGTGAGAACCTGCTGAAAAAATTCCTCATCCTGAACCCTAGCAAGAGAGGCACTTTAGAGGTGAGCCCCCTGGAAGTGGGCCTTGAGGAAATGCTAATAAATTCTGGTACCCCCTTTGGAGTTTCCTTGGGAAACAAAGGCTCCTTGGAGATCAAGAAGGGAAAATATTTGTAGCTCAAGAGTTGAAATGAGGGCTCCTTGGTGCTCTCTGACCTCCGTGGTTTTCTTGCAGACGTTTCAAGACCCAACTAGGCAACCTCATCAGTGCTAGAAGGGAAGGAGGATTTACCCTCTGCAAGCAAGCTGTTAATATAGAAACAGGGAGCAAAGGCCCCTCCCTTCTAGCACTGAAGATGTTACTTAGTTGGGTCATGAAACGTCTGCAAGAAAGCCACCAAGCTCAGAGAGCACCAAGGACCACACACTTCTCCTCCTCCTCCTCCTCCTCCTCCTCCTCTTCCACTTCTCCTTCTCTTCCTCCTCCTCCTCCTCTTCTTCCTCCTCCTCCACTTCATCTTCTCCTTCTCCGCCTCTTCTTCTGCTTCTGCTTCTCCTTCTTCTGCTTCTCCTTCTTTTCCTTGTTCTGCTTCTTCTTCTTCTGATGATGATGATGATGATGATGATGATGATGATGATGATGTTACCTAGTTGGGTCATGAAATATCTGCAAGAAAACAACTAAGCTCAGAGAGCACCAAGGACCACACACTTCTCCTCCTCCTCCTCTTCTCCTTCTCCTTGTTCTTCTCCTTGTTCTTCTCCTTGTTCTCCTTGTTGTTGTTGTTGTTGTTGTTGTTGTTGTTCTTCTTCTTCTTCTTCTTCTTCTTCTTCTTCTTCTTCTTCTTCTTCTTCTTCTTCTTCTTCTTCTTCTTCTTCTTCTTCTTCTTCTTCTTCTTCTTCTTCTTCTTCTTCTTCTTCAACTGATGATATTACCTAGTTGGGTCATGAAACATCTGCCAGAAAACCACCAAGCTCAGAGACCACTAAGGACCTCACAGCTGTTGTTCTCCTCCTCCTCCTCCTCCTCCTCTGCAAACCCCACTCCTTTCTAGCACTGATGATGTTACCTAGCTGGGTCATGAAACCTCTGCAAGGAAACCACCAAGCCTTGGATACCTTCTGCCGAGAGGGGCTTAAGTTTTTGCAAAAAGTGGGGAGGCTGGTTCATCTAACCTCAAAGAGGCCCCGTTGTCTGCACCACACGTTTCCCTGGATTAGTAAGGGAGGGGTTGAGCCTTATAAGCCCGTCTCCAGGAGATTAGCGAGAGCTAATTAGATTCCCCCCTGTCATTTCTGTCTGGTTTAATTCCTACCCATCTGCTGGAGGAGGAGAATCCGGATGTAAGGGCTGTAAAAAATCGGGAGCTTGATCACTCCGCATCCCAGCAGGCACAGCTGCCCAGGGGTGAAAGGGCAGAAGAGGACAGAGTAGGGTCGCCTCCTCAACTCTGCCCGCAATCATAGCAAACCCCAAAAAGTCCGCTCCATATTTTTTTCTCCCCCCCCCCCAAAATCATTTTTCCGGAGATTGTAGGAGAGAACCAAAAAAACGGACAATTTCTGAGCCCCTTTTTCCCCCAGCTCTAAAGCGATGAAAAAAGGACAGCTTCCCGTTTGAAATAGAATAGAATAACAGAGTTGGAAAGGGACCTGGGAGGTCTTCTAGTCCAGCCCTCTGCCTAGGTTTGGTTAAAAGAGGTTTGTGGTTGACGCAGAGGGATAAGGGTTTACAGCAGGGGTGAAATCTACTTGCCCTCCCTACCGGTTCAGAAGTGTGCGCTCCGTGTGCGCATGCGTGCATCAGATACAATTTTGGATCATGCGCAAATCCTTCTGCACATGCACAGAGGGTCAAAAACAACTTACTTTCTGGTTAAAACCAGGGGCAGCTGGGCGGAGCCTCAGGCTGCCGCCGCTACCAGTTTGCCAAACCATGTGCGGCCGCCGCTACCGATTCGCCTGAACCGGTAGCATTTCACCCCTGGTTTACAGGTAGCCCTTGACGTATGACCGCAACGGAGCCCAACGTTTACGTTGCTAAGCGGGGACAATTTGTGAAGTCAGTTTTGCCCCATTTTACGACCTTAACAGCCGCGGTTGTTAAGCGAATCCCTTCAGTTGTTGGTCACCCGGTTGTTAAGTGAATCTGGCTCCCCCGTCGACTTTGCTCATCGGAAAGTCGTAAAAGTGGATACCCTCTCTCTCTCTCTCTCTCTCTCTCTCTCTCTCTCTCTCTCTCTCTCTCGTCGGAAAGTCGCAAAAGTGGATACCCTCTCTCTCTCTCTCTCTCTCTCTCTCTCTCTCCTCTCTCTCTCTCTCCTCTCTCTCCCTCCCTCCCTCCCTCCCTCCCTCTCTCTCTCTCTCTCTCTCTCTCCTCCCCTCCCCTCTCTCTCCTCTCTCTCTCTCTCTCCCTCTCTCTCCCTCCCTCTCTCTCTCTCCCTCTCTCCTTCTCCCTCTCTCTCTCTCTCTCTCTCTCACACACACACACACACACACCCCTCGGGGACACTGCGACCGTCATAAATACGAGTCAGTTGCCAATCATCTGAATTCAGATCACGTGACCCACGGGGGAATGCCACAACGGTCGTTATGTGTGAAAATTGGTCCTTAGTGTCCCCCCCCCTTTTTTCTCCAGACCCGTTGTAACTTTGAACGGTCACTAAACAAACTGTCGTAAGTCGAGGACTACCTGTGCTTGGGGGAAGCCCCCGACTCGCTTAGTGTCTTGCACAAACATAGCCAGTAGGTGGAGTTCACAGAACGCAACACTCGGCCCGGTCAGCAAAAATGGTCATTGGGTGGGGTGGTGATGTTAATCTTGGCTAATCTTTCTGGGACTTCCAAAAAGTCAGCCTGTTTGGTGAATCGTGGTTCCGCGTATGCGGTTAAACCCTGTGTGCGTGGACCCCTGCCGGTCTTTTTTTATCTCTTCCCCCCCCCCCCCAAGTGAGCAGCTCCCAAGCTAAGTACTGACCTCAGGCGGCCTTTGGGCAGCCACGTGGCACGGCACGGCCAGCATTCGTCAACAAATGTCCAGATCGTGACATGCCCGAAGATGGACCGTTCCTCGTCTACCTGCTGTTCTCAAGATTGTTGTGTTGCCGTTAATCAAAGCCGCTTTTGGAGAAGCGGCGGGATTAATCTTGAGCGCTCAATCCGTGGGAGGCCCAGTTTTTCCACTGTGGCCTTTTGTGGCCTTTCATGGGCTCTGGGCAAAATCCATCCTCCTCTCCTTTCCTTTCCTTCTTCTTCTAATTGTTTTTCCTGTCCTATCCTGTCCTCCCTTCTTTTTCCTTTTTCCTTCCCTTCCCTTTGTTCTCCTTTCCTTTCCTTTGCTTCCCTTCCCTTTTCTTTTCTTTCTTCTCCTTTCCTTTCCTTTCCTTCCCCTCCCTTTCCTTTCTTCTCCTTTCCTTTGCTTCCCCTCCCTTCCCTTGCCTTTCTTCTCCTTTCCTTTCCTTCCTTTCCCTTCCCTTCCCTTCCCTTCTTCTCTCTTCCTTCCCTTCCCTTTCCTTTCCTTTCTTTTCCTTTCTTCTCCTTTCCTTCCCCTCTCCTCCCTTTCCTTTCTTCTCCTTTCCTTTCCTTTCTTTTCCTTTCTTCTCCTTTCCTTTCCTTCCCCTCCCCTCCCTTTCCTTTCTTCTCCTTTCCTTTCCTTCCCTTTCCTTTCTTTTCCTTTCTTCTCCTTTCCTTTCCTTCCCCTCCCCTCCCTTTCCTTTCTTCTCCTTTCCTTTCTTTTCCTTTCCTTTCCTTTGCTTCCCCTCCCTTCCCTTGCCTTTCTTCTCCTTTCCTTCCCTTCCCTTCCCTTGCCTTTCTTCTCCTTTCCTTCCCTTTCCTTCCCTCCCTTCCCTTCCCTTTTGCCTTCCCTTTCTCCTTCCCTTCCCTTCCCTCCATCTTTCCCCTTCCTTTCCCTTCTCCTCCATCACTGGACATTTTCAAGAAGAGACTGGATAGCCCCTTGTCTGAAAGGCTTTCCTGCTCGTGCAACTCTGTTATTCTGTGTTCTGTATTCCCCTCCTCCTCCCCTCCCGTTGCAGCATCCCCAGGGCCGCGTGATCAAAATACAGACACCTGGCAACTGACTCACATTTACGACAGCAGCTGTGACCATCTGACCAGTAAAGTCAATGGGGAAAAGCCAGATTCGCTTAACAACCGTGTTAGTAACTTAACAGCTGCAGTGATTCACTTAACAACTGTGTCAAGAAAGGGGGCAAAACTCGCTTAACAACTGTCTCCGCTTAGCTGCATAAACCTTGGGCTCCGTCGTGGTCGTAAGTCGAGGACTACCTGTTAATGGTTACAGAGTCGTGGGCCAGAAGCCAAGAGCTCTTCCCATCGCCGGATGCGTTGCTCATTTCAACAGGGGCGCATTGATCTTTGCACAATGCCTCGTTCAATCGCGAGTCCATCCCGATCTTGCGAAATTTAATTTCATAATTAGCAGTTGGCTTCTCCTTTTAGTTACCCGGACGATCAATCACTGCCGTGAATAGCTTGCTGATTTCAGGATCAGAAAAGGCCTCTTCACACTTCCAAAAGACAGAAAATTAAGCGGGGGGGGGAGGGAACAGAGGTGATTCAACATACGTCTTCGGCGAAAGCGACAGGAATCCTGGCTCCCTTTGGTTGTATTCTTGCGGCTTTTTCTTTGTTACCTTTGAAAGAAGAGCGTGGCTTTAAAACACACGGTGATTGGGGATAAGACAGAGGCCCGGCTTTTGTCATCGGTCAACAATGGCTTATTGCTAATCCTGGCTAAATTTAGCCAGTTGTGGTTTAACAGAACACTATAACGGAGTTGGAAGGGTTGAACGGTTGCAGGAACTGGGCCTGGCTAGTCCAGTGAAGAGAAGGACCAGGGGAGACAGGAGAGCATCTTCCAATATTTGAGAGGCTGCCACAGAGAGGAGGAAGGGGGATCAAGCTATTTTGCAAAGCACCTAAAAGCCAGACAAGGAATAACAGATGGAAACTGACCAAGGAGAGATTCAACCTAGAAATAAGGAGAAAATTTCCTGACACTTTGAGAACAATCAACCTGTGGAACAGGAGTTGCCTTCAGAAGTTGTAGGAGCTTCATCCCTGGAAGCTTTCAAGAAGAGACTGGACTGCCCATTTGTCAGAAATTATGTAGAGTCTCCTGCTTAGGCGGTGGGGTCAGACTAGATGACCTACAAGGTCCCTTCCAACTCTGTTAGTCCAACCCTCTGCTCAGGCAAGAAACCCTGTACCGCTTCCGACAAATGGTTGTCCAATCTCTTCTTAAAAACTTCCAGTATTGGAGCATCCACAATTTCTGGAAGCAAGTCGTTCCACCGATTAATTGTTCTCACTGTCAGGAAATTTCTCCTTAGTTCTTAATTGCTTCTCTCCTTGATTAATTTCCATCCATTGCTTCTTGTCCTGCCTTCAGCTGTTTTGGAGAATAGCTTGACTCCCTCTTCTTTGGGGCACCCCCTGAGATATTGGAAGACTGCTATCATGTCTCCCCTAGTCCTTCTCATTAAACTAGACATACCCAGTTCCCGTATGTTTTAGCCTCCAGTCCCCCAATCCTCTTTCTTGCTCTTCTCTGCACTCTTTCCAGAGTCTCCGCATCTTTTTCTTTTACATCGTGGCAACCAAAAACCGATTTATTCTGGCTTAGCCTCGTGTGTTAAACAACCAAGATGATTTTTTAGGGGAGCACCTCCTGTTTTCTGAGCATTTTTGCCTCACCAAACCATTTCTCTTTCCGCCACTATTATTCTCGGGTTTATTCTTTTTTAATTTTTTTTTAAAAAAACCCGTCCTGGCTGGTTCCGTGAAGGCGCCCCGTTTCGTTTCCCCGTCGTCTGCCGCCCTCTTTTGTCTGGCTTCGAGGGCCCAAATTGCTTCTCTGCGGGAAGGAGGTAATTTCCCCAAGCCCCTTTCAGCCTCTTTTTTATATTTTTTTCTCCCCTTAAGCTTTCCCAACAGGGAGTCTGTTTTTTACATCGGCTGTTTTTTGCTGACCACGAGGCATCAGTTCTGCTACTCCAGGGCGGAAAAAAGCTTTCACACGTGTGGATTTGAAAGCAGAAAGAAAAAAAGAAGCAGCTTTCCCAAGGGGTGTGGGGAGGGGGGGAAACATTAGCAAATACACCCACCCCCCACAATTTTCCTGGAAAAACGGGAGGGAGGCTGCTGAGAACGCAAGGCAGAAAACGTCCTTTGGGGACATTGGCGCCTCTTGCCTCTTGTTACCAGAGTTGGTTTTCCGCTCAAACACACATCAGTTGCTGGTTTCTCCTCCTCCCTCGGACATACAGGCAGTCCTCGATTTACGACCGCAAGCCGAGTCCAGAATTTTACGTTTCTCAGCAGGGCAGTTGTTAAAGGAGCTTATGTCCCGTTTTACGGAACTTTCTGGCCACCGTTGTTAAGGGAATCGCTGCCGTTGTTAAGTTTAGTCCCACGGTCGTTAAAGTGAATCTGAATAAATTGACTTATTCACTAAAGTGAATAAATTGACTTGGCTTATCAAAAGGTCGTAAAAGGGGATTCCCACGAGCCCAGGACCTTCTGTGACCGTCATAAATATGAGTCATTTATATTGTCGTTTATATATAAGCCACTGACTTGTTGTCTCTGAACAGAGAGCGACCCCTCTCCCTTTCTAGCACTGATGATGTTACCTAGTTTGGTAAAAAAAAACGTCTGCGAGAAAACCAGCAAAAGCTCAAGAGAGCATCAAGGAGTTCCAAATCTTTCTCCTGCTGTCCATAATGTGGGACGTGGGGCTGCCTCAATTTCTTAACATATTTCTTTTCCTCCATTGTCTCCTCACCTCCCTGAACGTCCAGTGGAAATGATGGATGCAGTGTAGAATGTGTATGCGATAAATAGCTCCTCCAGGGCCCGGGTTCGATATAATAGCAATAGCACTTAGACTTATATGCCGCTTCACTGTGCTTTTACAGCCCTCCCTAAGCAGCTTACAGAATCATCATATTTGCCCCCAACAATCTGGCTCCTCATTTTACCCACCTCGGAAGGAGGGAAGGCAGAGGTGGCGCAGTGGTTAGAGTGCAGTACTGCAGCTACTCCAGCTGACTGCTCGTTCAGCAGACCAGCAGATCAAATCTCACCGGCTCAAGGTTGACTCAGCCTTCCATCCTTCCGAGGTGGGTAAAATGAGGACCCAGATTGTTGGGGGGGCAAGATGCTATTTAGTATACTGTCGATTGTTGTAAACTGCCCAGAGTCCTCGGAGAGTGGGCGGCATAGAAATATGACTAATAAAATAATAAATAATAAAATAAGTCTGAGTCAATCTTGAGCTGGTCAGGATCAAACTCCTGGCTGTGGGCAGAGTTAGCCTGCAATGCTGCATTCTAACCACTGGGAAGGAAGGAAGGAAGGGAGGGAGGGAGGGAGGGAGGGCAATAGCAATACCACTTAGACTTATATATGGCTTTGTAGTGCTTTTATTTATATGCCGCCCTGAGTCTTCAGAGAAGGGCGGCATATAAATTGAAGTAATAAAATAAATAAAATAAAATAAAATAAATATAGCTCTCTCTAAGCGGTTTATAGAGTCGGCCTATTTTCCCCAACAATCTGGGTCCTCATTTTACCCACCTCGGAAGGATGGAAGGCTGAGTCAACCTCGAGCTGGTCTGGATTGAACCGCTGGCAGTGGGCAGAGTTAGCCTGCAATGCTGCATTCTAACCACTGGAAAGGAAGGAAGGAAGCAAGGAAGGCTGAGTCAACCTTGAGCTGGTCAGGATCCCCTCCTCCATGCGGTTCTAACATCTGCCTCTCCTTTCCCACCCACCCCTCATCCCCCAATAGCAAATCATGAAAGACCGCTGGATGAATGTGGGTCACGAGGACGATGAATTGAAGCCTTACGTGGAACCTCTGCCAGATTACAAGGACCCTCGGCGGACAGGTACAACGTTAGAGAAGGGGTGATGGGCTAGGCCGGGGCGGCGTGGGGTGGCCATTCCCACCCCATTCCAGGGGAAGGATACTGCAAAATCCCCATTCCCTCCCCACTCCAGGGGAAGGATACTGCAAAATCTCCACTCCAGGGGAAGGATACTGCAAAATCCCCATTCCCTCCCCACTCCAGGGGAAGGATGCTGCAAAATCTCCACTCCAGGGGAAGGATACTGCAAAATCCCCATTCCCTCCCCACTCCAGGGAAGGATGCTGCAAAATCTCCACTCCAGGGGAAGGATACTGCAAAATCTCCATTCCCTCCCCACTCCAGAGAAAGGATACTGCAACATCTCCACTCCAGGAGTAGGATACTTAAAAATCCCCATTCCCTCCCCACTCCAGGGGAAGGCCACTGCAAAATTTCCATTCCCACCCCACTCCAGGGGGAAGGATACAGCAAAATCTCCATTCCCACTCCATTCCAGGGGTACTGCAAAATCTCCATTCCCACCCCACTTTTGGGTAAGGATACTGCAAAATCCCCATTCCCTCCCCACTCCAGAGAAAGGATACTGCAACATCTCCACTCCAGGAGTAGGATACTTAAAAATCCCCATTCCCACCCCACTTTTGGGGAAGGATACTGCAAAATCCCCATTCCCTCCCCACTCCAGGGGAAGGCCACTGCAAAATCTCCATTCCCACCCCACTCCAGGGGAAAGATACAGCAAAATCTCCATTCCCACCCCACTCCAGGGGTACTGCAAAATCTCCATTCCCACCCCACTTCAGGGGAAGGATATTGCAAAATCTCCATTCCCTCCCCACTCTGGGGCCAACCAGAGGTGGCATTTACCGGTCCTCCGAACTACTCAAAATTTCCGCTACCGGTTCTCCAGAACTGGTCAGAACCTGTTGAATAGCACCTCTGGTCTTGACTCTCCTCTTCTTCTTCTTCCTCCTCCTCCTCCTCTCTCCCGCCTTCTTCTTCTCCTTCGCCCTCCAGAACTCATGATTTCTATGGGGTACACCCGGGAAGAAATTCAAGAGTCCTTAGTCAGCCAGAAATATAATGAAGTGATGGCGACGTACCTGCTGCTAGGTTACAAAAACTCAGAGGTGAGTGCGAGGCTGGGGTGGGGGTGGGGGGGTTTGCCCACGTGCATCGAGCTTTTGAAGGGCAACCTGCAGGGATGGTTTGCGGTCCCGAAGCAAGCAGGCTGATTGAGTCACGTTGCTCTTTCTCCTGTTTAAAGTCAGCTCTTCCGTTTACGCTGAGACTCTGGAAAGAGCGCTGGGGAAGAGGAACAAAGACGATTAGGGGACTGGAGGTTAAAACGTACAAAGATCAACGGTTGCAGGAATTTGGGATATGTCTAGTTCGAGTGTCAGCAACCTGCGGCTCCGGAGCCGCATGCGGCTCTTTCATCCCCCTGCTGTGGCTCCCTATCGGCTGGCGCCCTCCCCTTCTAGTCACTCCTTGCCCGGCCTGAGAGAGAGGAGAGGGGAGAGAGAGAGAGGGAGAGGGAGAAAGAGACACACAGAGAGAGAGACCTGTTTCCCGCAGAAAACACTGGGAGGCGTGACTAGGGGGGTGTCATGTGACTGGGTGGGAGTGAGTGACATCGAGTTGGCCACGCCCACTCAGGTTTTGTGACTCCCGGTGTTTTCCTTTCTGTGGGAAATGAGTCCAAATGGCTCTTTTGAGTGTTTTAAGGTTGCAGACCCCTGGTCTAGTTGAAAGAAGGACTAGAAGTGACACGATAGCAGTCTTCCAATATTTGAGGGGCTGCCCCCAAAGAAGATTTGGGGGTCCACCTGTTCTCCAAAGGACCTGAAGGCAGGAGAAGAAGCAACGGGTGGAAATAAATCAAGGAGAGGAGCAAGCGGAATCAAGGAGGAATTTCCTGACAGTGAGAAGAATTAACCAGTGGAACCGCTTGCCTTCAGAAGCTGTGGGAGATTTTTAAGAAGGGGCTGGACAACCATTTTTTTTTTTTCAGTCCCTTGTCCCTTCGAGCCGTTGCTAAACGAATGGCCATAAGTTGAGAAACGGTCATAAGTTGAGGACTTTGTAACCTATGCAAAGAGAACCGACGGATGGAAACTGATCAAGGAGGGAAGCAACCTGGAATGAACAAGAAATTTCCTAACGGTGGGAAGAATTAGCCAGTGGAACGCCTTGCCACTGGAAGTTGTGGGTGCTTCAACACTGGAGGTCTTTAAGAAGAGACTTGGACAGTCACTTGTCTGAAATGGTATAAGGTCTCCTGCTTAAGCAGGGGGTTGGACTAGAAGACCTCCAAGGTCCCTTCCATTGCATTATTCTGTTGAATGTCTTGAGTAGAAGCTTCCAACTTGCTCTTGCTTCATGTGGCAACCCGGTTCCAGTGCCTGCCTCCAGAATTGGCAGCGCCCTCCACCCACCCCTGAGCTCGTTGGCTGCCGCTCATTGTCGGGGATCCACATTAGAATCTTTGCAGCTGACACGGTTAAACATGTGATTGACAGGTGGCGCGCCGCTGAATGCAATGAGAAGCAAGCCTCGAGTTCTTTTTTGCCATATCGCTGAAGATCCCTGGATAAGAGGATTTTATTCTTTATTCTTTAGCAGCCTTCCGGTCCTCATGCATCTCCTAAGGAAGTCTTCCCTGTACGTTGCGTTTTCCACGCAGCGAGTTTCCGATGGCCTTTTCGTTCATAAATCCTGGAAATTGAAAAAAGAAAAATAAGTCAAGGAGAACAGGCAGGGTTAAAATGGCTTTTTGGGATGGAAGTAGTGTAAAAGAGAGGGGAGGGAGGGAGGGAGGAAGGAAGGAAGGAAGGAAGGAAGGAAGGAAGGAAATGAAAAGGAAAGGAAAGGAAAGGAAAGGAAGGGCAATAGCAATAGGACTTACATACTGCTTTGTAGTGCTTCACAGCCCTCTCTAAGTGGTTTACAGAGTCAGCCTTTTGCCCCCAACGATCTGCGTCCTCATTTTACTGACCTTGGAAGGATGGAAGGCTGAGTCGACCTTGAGCTGATCAGGATCGAACCCCTGGCAGTAGAATGCAGAGTTAGCCTGCAATCCTGCATTCTAATCACTGGGAAGAGAAGGAAGGAAGGAAGGAAGATCAAGGAAGGAAGGAAGGAAGAAAGGTGAGAGGGAAGGAGGAGATGAGATTTGGAGGGAGAAAGGAAGGAAGGCGATACAGTGTGGATGGAAGGGAAAAGAAGGAAGGAAGGAGGGAAGCTAGGAAGGAAGTGGATGAGGTGTGGATGGAAGGGGAAGGAAGGAAGGAAGATCATGGAAGGAAGGAAAGAAGGAAGGAAGATGATAGGGAGAGAGGAGATGAGAGTTGGATGGAGGAGGAAGGAAGGAAGGAAAGCGATGCAGTGTGGATGGAAGGGGAAAGAAGGAGGGAGGGAGGGAGGGAAGCTAGGAAGGAAAGAAGTTGATAAGGTGCGGATGGAAGGGGAAGGAAGAAAGATAGGGAAGCTGGAATAAAGGAAGGAAGGGTAAACTTGAATGAACGTTTTGCAGAGAACCATAAAAACCAATACAACTAACCAAAATTAAGAAGAAATAAAACAAAAATTGCAGAAAGAAAGAAAGAAGAAAAAAGGAGATGGAAAGGAGAAACTTTGCAGTTCCTTTGCAGCAAAGGCAGTTTGCAAAAGAAGCTTAACGGTTACAAAAAGAAAACTCCCACCTTTTTCATTAATCCGGTTTTCTGTGATCCAGCAGTCCCAGCGTAAACTTCTTTTTTTCCTCCACGAGGGGAAAAAAAAACAAACGTTTTAAGCTTTTTTGTGGGGGGAACTCTGCCTCCGAGGGCTTGCGTGACCTGGATCGGGAGAAGCCGCCTCTTGAGGTCTGGAGCCTTTTCTGATTCCCTTTTTTTCCTGCTCTTGCAGCTCGACAACGACAGCAGCACCCTCAAACCTCGCCCCCAGCCTGAGCTCGCCAACAGCACGGTCCCCTCCCCTTCGCACAAGGTACAGCGCAGCGTCTCCGCCAACCCCAAGCAGCGCCGCTTAAGTGATCAGGGTGAGTTTCGGGGACCGCTCCGGGGTCCCCTTCATTCTGGGCCAAAGCAGGGTGGGCTTCCCCGCATAAGATGGATTTCTTTCTTTATTTATGATCTCCCACCTTTTTTTATAAATAAGTCAAGGTGCCGAAAGATTCCTTATTTTCCCCTACAACGACAACCTTGTGAGGTGGGTTGGGCTGAGAGTGAGAACGAACAATCACCCAGCCAGCTTTAAGGAAGGGACTAGAACTCACCGTCTCCTGGTGATTGCCCCCAAGTCACCCAGCTGTTTCATGCCTAAAGTGGGACTAGCAAAGCTGGCTGAGGAATTCTGGGAGTTGAAGTCCACAAGTCTTAAAGCTGCCAAGGTTGGAGGCCCCTCCCCTAAAGGACAGTCCTTGTTCCTTCCTTTCTACCTTCTCCCTGCATCTCCCTGGCGCTCACTTCCTTCTTTTCGTCTGCCCCGCAGTACCCAACATCCCGACGTCCACGTCTTACTCCAAGAAAACGCAGGCAGCCAACGCTGAGAACAAGAGGCCCGAAGAGGAGAGGGAGGCCGGGCGCAGCAAGGCCGGGAGCACCGTCAAAGTGCCTGCCAGCCCCCTGCCCAGCCTGGAGAGGAAGAAAAGCACTCCTATGCCCTCCACGGTCAGTGCCCTAAGACTCCTCCCACCCACGGACTTAGATAGATAGATAGATAGATAGATAGATGGATGGATGGATGGATGGATGGATGGATGGATGGATGGATGGATGGATGGATGGATGTTGGATGTTGGATGGGGGAGAGAGAGAGAGAGAGAGAGAGAGAGAGAGAGAGAGAAGATGGATGGATGGATGATAGATAGATAGATAGATAGATAGATAGATAGATAGATAGATAGAT